ATGTACATGTATCATGCAATGTGACATGTTCAAAATGTTCAATCATCATTATCAGGTGTCATTATTTTTTTCTTCTGATCCCACTTTGATTGAGGCTGACCTGGTTTACGGTACATGTACTCATATCTCCACTGACATACATGCACAGTACATGTACACAAAGTACTACGTACCTGTAGCAATAACTTTACAGGTTAAACCCATTAGTCCATGCTTTGTACATCACACAGACAAACAATTGCCTCCAGTTTTAAATACTCCCTAGTGTGCTATTGCCATAATAGTTTCATACATGTACCTGATGGGATGAGCTTGCTTTTGGGCCCTCTGCAGATATACCGGGTATGTACATGTAAATGCATACCATGTGTGCACTAGTCAGGGTAAAATAGATGAATTTAATAGTGTAGAGTCCGTGCACGCACATGTGCATTAGACAGGGAAAAACTTGGACTGGTAACCATACATGTATATACTGCTGTACACATTATATGTAATACAGAAAAAGCCCTGAACTTTCTTTAAGTACATGTACATGAACATGCATGTGTACTGGTATGATACACATGTATGATTAATTAATTTTGTTTGTACATGAATGTACATTGTACATGTACACGAATGGTGTACATTTTCACAACACTATATGTGCATGTACCGGCCGTACATGTTGTACTATACATATTTAACGATGGGCAGGGAGGCCTACATGTACATGTACAGTCTGTGTTGTTGACTGAATTTGTGCACAGTTCTTCTCCTGTACTACGTTGTACTTGGAGATTACGGTACAAGTAATCTTTTGTCTGGAGGCAGTATAATAATAAGGTTTGGAAGCTGCTCCATTGATTATCCCACGGTTGTAGGGCTTCCTCTGGAGAAAATTAAAAGCCAAGTTTGGCTCCCGGAGTCCAAGCACGTTCACATACAATATACGTATAAACTGTCGCTGCGTTCCTGTGTGAAGTTGGCCTGACCGCTCCCTTAGGGGTCAGGTTGCAGCGGATGGAATGCAATTCCCTTCAGGTGCCATTGATCTCTAATTAGTGATCCCAATGTGTAATGAGAAGATGGGTACCCGCACATGTACATGTGTGCATTCTTGTACCTACATGTACATGTATGCATCCACTCAAGTCGTTCTACTCTACACGTTTACTGTGTACACATGTACTGTACACAGGTTATGTGTGCCAAAAACAAATTCGCACACAGCGTTCACAGGTCTGAAAATCAGATCTTTGAAATTGTGAACTTTATATGTACGCTTTGGGTTCCTGTACATAGGCCTAATTACAGAACATTTTATTGTAAATCCAGGTCTTAGATACAATAAGTCACTATGTGTCATGTACACTGTACATCAGTGGCGAGGCTAGGATTTTACTAGTGGGGGGCACAAAGGGGGCCGTGGCATCTTGGGGGGGCACCAGCTTTCAGTGGTGGGGTTTTTTGGGCAAGTTTTTGTTAGCCTTGTTCAGTATCTATTCATCCATTTTTTTCAGTGGGGGGTCACCGGGGGGGCCATGTGTGTCCATGATATTCGTGAAATGTGTGCGTTCTTTTATGTGGAAATTATGTTCTAGACTTAATTGATGTGTGAATTGATGTGCCTCAGTTTGTATCATTGAAAATCTTGATCTGTACTCAGTACACGTCAGCTTGTTTTAATTGACACATTTACCACTGGAAATGCACGGGCACCAGTACAGTGAACATGTGTACATGTATGTATTCAACTTTGCAGAATCTGCTCACACATGTCGGTACATGCATGTACATGTATGTTCATGTACACTGTACATGTACTACATTGAACAGGTGTACCAAAACTACCATTTACTATATGCACTTCCCCTTGGAAACCCTGGACCAAATTTTGGAGGAAAGAAAAGCAAATGTATACAATGTCTTTGGGGAAAGGGATAATTTATAACCCATTACAGTACATGTATGGCCAGAGGCTAGTCAAATGTGAAGGAAGGAAATGTTATACAATGCACCCTCCATTCTAGCTCAACATTGCTGCTGAGTTCACCGGTCACTCGCACTGAGACACGTTACATGTACATGGACATTGTTCCTTCATGCATGCATCACCATCCCTTTGGAACTCTCTGCCACGCCACATCAGAACTGTAAATACCAAAAATGAATTTAAAACACCCCTTGAAACTTACCTGTTCCATTACTTGCTTTTAGTTGTTTCTTATTAAGCGCATCAAGACTTTGGTGTGATGCACTATATAAAAACTGGGTTATTATTAATTATTATTATTATGTACACGCAATGCAAACACATATGTACACTGTACTGTACCCGTACATGTACGTAATGCAAAGACCCACCCAAAGTTGTCCATGGGCAATCCGTTTTGAGCACTGAAGGGAGTGACTTGGGAACACGACCAACATTAAGTTACAGATGCATGCAGTAAGGCCCTTTTTTTTTCAGTAGAACGATATTTCATGTACACGCACCGGTATGTCCACTGTAAGTACATTGTACGTACATGTATGTGTACATGTACTGGTGTGATGACTTTTCGTTTGCCAGTCTCGGTGAGTTTTTATTCTGCATTCTACCCAAAAAGGACTGTTTCAAAAGAATCATTGCAGCACAGCTTTTCCTGACCATAACAATAATCCAAATTTCAAAAAGAAAACTACTAGTAGAGCAGAAGGACACTTCCAATAAAGAAATAGCCTGAAACATGTACCGTAGGTCCCACCAGTACGTTCATATGACAGTGGCATGAATTGCATCAAATGTACTAGTACATGTACATGTATTGCGTCACAAGTTTCACTGAGTATCACTGCTAAGAGAGTTGCAATTCTTTTCCAGTTGTTTCAACATTTTGTACGTGCATAGTAGTACACATGCGAACCATGGTTCAATTTCTGTCTTTTCAAGTAAGAGGGATTTGGTGTTTTCTTCTTCCAGCTCTGGCAGTTGTGGGCACCATGGGGCTCACCACCACCCAGACTGTCATACGGGGCAATGACATCTCCTTCCCCTGTGAGGCTTACAACAGCATTGCGCCCCTGGTCATCGGGGCCACCATCATGGTGGAGTGGACTAAGGACTCCCTGCCGCTGGTGGAAAGCTCAGGCCCGACGGTCAGCGGCCGGGTGCGACTGGACATGGGGACCTACGGCCTGACCATCTCGGTGGCGGCCATCTCGGACCAGGGCCTGTACGCCTGCCGAGCAGAGGGGGAGCCACTGAATCCCAGCACCTCCAATCCCCTGCTGATCCAGACCACACAGGTCTCCCTGACCACCACAGGTTGGTTGAACCACTGTGGGCACTGTTAAAAGTGCTGACCACGATTCATTCCCTTTTTTCTGGAATTTGTTCATGCTGACAGGAGATCTAGTTAATGATTTATTTGGCTGATGGCATTTGCCACAACCACACTGTACCAGCACATGTTGCCTGGTAACCTGTGCACAGAGTACATATTGGGTACCGCACAAAATCAACCACGTGGTTGAAAAATAGTCATTGCATGAACTGGATCACATCTGTGGTCATGTATGGCATACACATATGTGTAATTTGAAGATAATGCATATAGCGTGGATGGGTCACCAAATGAGGGCAGAAGAAATTGAAGTATGTAAACCAGTGGCACTTAAAGTAAAGTCATTTGATGGGGAGGTGGGATAAATAAGCATTTAGATACCGTAGTGAAAGGCACGTGTAGACAGGTTTTGTTTCACCAGTCCTCAGTCCTTGAGATAACAGATAAAAAGGGGAGGAGGTTCCCGGAAGTTGCCTACGGTACTATCTTTTATGGTGGCAGTTACGCTGACAGTATCAGACAGTACATGTAGCTACATGTATAGTAGCAGTGCTCTTTATGGCTGCAGAACTTCTGAAGTTCCGTTGAGGCTGGAAAAAAATGGACGCTACTGTTGAAAAAGGGCAAAATATTTGCGGACGGGTTTAATATCCTTCCCCTCCCCTCCCACTACCCATTGGTAACCAGCATTCAACAGTAGTATTCAGGTATTAGGCCACCGAAAGCTCAGCCTTGTAATACTGGTGCACATTTACATGTACATGTATGTTCATGTAGGCTCATGTAGAAGACACTACATGGTCATGTGGTTTCAAGCTTTGAAGATTTTCTTTAAAACTGAGTTAAAGCTACACAAAACTAGGCCTGAAGTCTAGAATGGATTCTACAAGTCTTGCAGGCTTTTTCACTGTTACTTTTTTTTTTACCCTCCTGAAATTCACACATTGCTATTTTGCCTTAATTGGTACACTGGGGTGTACTGCTGCATGGTACATGTACCTACATGTACATGTACATGTATGTGTTTGCACCTGCATGTATCATGTTCAGTATGTTCTGATGCCTGATCTTTATCAGAAGCATTTGAACAAAATGAGTATGCATGTACACATGTACATGTACACTGTACATCTATGTACAATGTACATATACATGTACTTGAAAAGCTGCCATCAGAACAGCTTTAGCTGTGTCCCCATTGGACTCTGTTTGGTTAACTTACCGTGACATTCTTGTAGAATTACAAAATTAAATCCAATGGGAGCACACGGTTAACTAACGTCCCTGTCAACTTACGATCGCGATGTAAAGCTAACGGGCTGAAAGGGGTCGCAGAAAATTTCCGCGTAGCCACAATAAGTTAGCAGGGATGTAAAAAGTCCAATAGGAATAGTTCCCATACAGTGCACATGTAGCCCACGACCATGCTAAATATACGAACCAGACTACTGCCTACACAGAGATCGATTGCTGGCACGCAAAAAATACACAGTTAAGTGTGCCAGGATAGAGCTATACACACGATGTGTACTGGGCTTTTCCTGTATACATGGGTTTGTCTTCTTTGTGTCAGATTTGGCCGAATTCGTCTGTTTTTTGTATTACTTTTTGTCAGATTTTGTCAATTTCGTCAGTTGTACAGCACAGGCAATGTACATGGATTCAGCTGGTCTGATTAGGCCTAACACAGCAAATAAGGATTCAGTTACAGTTAAAAAAGTCCACATGGGAATGCGCAGTAGATTGATACGAAGGAATGTCGCAGTAAGTTTCCACATGCACGCGGAAGAAAACATCCAATGGGAACACAGCTTTTTTACCAACCCCCAAAGAGATACCCGTACAAGTACGGTGCACTGTACATGTACATGTAGGTGTACATGTACATGTACATGTACATCTACAGTGTACATACATGTACATGTACAGTGTGCTTACTTCAATGTTTTACTGTACATGCACCGGTATGTCTTCTTATTTTCCTATACGGATTTGTTCTCGTCTAGGAACAAGTACAAAATGAAGAATTTCACCTCCTGTCATGTTACCATGTGCAATGTGGTTGAAAGCTGTGTACGCGTCATAGTGCATTAACCCTCACACTGCCGATAACATTTCAATATGTTGTACATGTATTTCTGCACAGCCCACTGAATTGTCTGAGACGTGCCAATTTCATATTACATTCAACTCTTGGGTTTGAGACACAACCCGAGGTGACAACCAATTCCAGTCTTAAAGCCATGAAATGTGATAGCCTGCAGGGGAAAGCTGTCTGCGCTGCTAACATGCGTAATGCCATACATGTTATGTACACACTAGTAAGTGTGTTTGTATTTCAAATGTTTTCACAGCCAGTAGAAGAAAACTTACTGAGAGGGGCCCGAAATCCTGGCCGATTTCACAGTTGGACCATTTGCCCTGTGACCAAGAAATGTTAACCAGCACAGCATGTGCAGGGGAGAAATCTCCTAAAAACTAACACGTTGATATTGTATGGAACTGTCTCTTAAACACATGTACACATAAAATACAGGTAAGCGATAAAGTTTACACATGTACAAGAGAATGAATATACCACATTCACATTTGTGTCCAGGCACGAGAGAATGAACAAAATGTTCGCTCTCCCATTTGGAGGGTCCAAAGTCATATACATGTACCGGTACATATTTGTTAAGTGGAAGTCAATTTTGGGGTTTTGCAATATTTGGAAAGAGTAACCCATCTGTTTACATGTAATTCCAATATTTTTGCAGGATTAGATATTTAAGAATGTCACTTTCTCAGCAATTTTGATTATAGCATTATTCGTGCCTAGTCAGAAATGTTGAACCAATGTCGGAAACAAAGATGCAAAGCTGCCCGAATAATGTCACGTTGTCGCTTTATACTTTTATCCTACATGTACTGAGTACATGTAAGCATTTCTTCTACACACCATTGGGAAGTTTTCTTTCTACTGAATTCAAAAATACCAATTTCTCAATTTCTGAAAATTCCAACTTCAGCTCATTTTGTGGTGAGAGGTCACATTTTATTTCAAAATATCCGTGCATCTGAACTGGGTAAAAATAACACGACAACTTCAGCCATGTCTGTCCGTATACAATATGTGATTGCTGTGATGTCACTTTGGGCACTCAGTTCATGTCATTTTAGAAATTTTCTGTGATACTGTAAAAAATATTCCCATATTTTTGATTGGGTATCATATTTTTTGGTCATTTCCGGGAACGACATCCACAGTGAGAACACACACAATTTAAATGGACCTCCAAGAAATAAAACTGACGCACAAAATTGTTGGAAAATATGAATTTTCAATTTATTATTACTTTTTCAACCAGAAAGGTCTTAGTGAATAGGAATAAAAGGTAAGATGGGTTGGTTTTAAACTACCACTAGTACATTTAAAATTGGCTAGGGGCCTTGGGATGATAATCAACCTCGCCTTTGGTGTGGTCTGTTATCATTACCAGTCCCCACACTGGTCTAACACTTGGTTTGCCCCATCACACTTTTATTCCTTTATTTAAAAAAAAATGTACCGATAGATGGTATACAAAAGTACATGTACATTTCCAGGAGTTCAACTCGCTGTGCAACTTGCATTTAAAGTTCCTGAATCTTCAAAGATTAATCACACCAAAGGCACATCGCTGGTGCGATTGAACTATCAACCTAGCCCAATGTATCTGTGTTTCCTCAATCTCACAGAATCCTCCAGAACCAATCTTTTGAAGATTTTGGAGGGCAGGATTTCAATAGATTTTCATTGCCTGCGGCTTTCAGCTGTGAAAACCACGGAAATGTTATGCCACAGTCGTTTTGCCCTACACAGGTGTACGTTGAACAGGTGCACATACCGGTACATATGCAAGACACTTTGAAGTTTGTTCTTCCCTAAGTTAAGTACATGTACGGTATATACATGTACACGTACTGGTCCATATTTTTATGTTATATCAGAATTGATGTGAAAATAAAATTTTCGCAGATAGAACCCTTGCTGTTTTGAATGCACATGTATGCAAATGCTCATGCTAGAGACCCAGCAGCATACGACCGCAGCCATCCATTCATTAACAGGCTCCCATGTCCTCAACCAAGTTGTCCCATTACGTACAGTAGTGCCATAATACACAAGTCTCCAGGATGGCTCCCGCATCATCCACTGAATTCATCACAGATGACAGCGCTAAAATGCTGTGATCTGCAATTCAGTTTTGAGCTTAAGATGATTCATCAAGCGGAAATCTTCCGTGTTCCCTCCTCCCCCCAAACTCATCCCAGTTGTTTTGTAATCGTCGGGTCAGTTCTCCAACTCCTTCTTGTCGCATAAACCATTTTTACTATAAAACCCAAGTATATCTGTCAGCGGGACACTTTTGGAAACGAACACCCATGAGGAACTGAGTTGCTATACGCATAACATCCCCCCCTTGTGAAGTTGTTTATTCTGAATTGGATTGTTTTAATAGAGCGCAGTTGAATTGCTGTCTCAGCCCTCAGCTCCTCTAGGTTTTGGCTTGACATTTCACTGACAAGAATCGCCCTCTGTTCAAGTTGTTTACGCGTTCCATTCCTTGCCAGAGTCGGAGGTGGCAAGACGTGGGAACACTTGCAGTCCTTGGTGTATACATGTACTGATTCGAGTACATGTTCTTGTATTGGTACTTGTACATGTACATGTCAAACTGAGCTGGAATACAGTACATAGCCTCCCTCGTGGACGGTACATGTTCATGTATACTGTGAAATGGACCAGATCCTGGTATCTGTTTAATTATCAGATATTTGACAAATTTGTATTGTTAATGTACATCGTGAATATTTCATCTCTTTTGTCTTGAGGTTTTTATACATGTACCAGTATGGCCACCTACATGTAGTTCAAGTTTGCTTACCAAGGTTTCACATTACAGCATCCAACTTGGAGCAAGAGGATTGCAACCATTCCTCATGTGTTCCAATCAAGACTAAAGGGGGAGTTGTCGGTCAACTTGCTGAAGCAGGTGTCCGAGCTCCATCAAGTAGTTGTAATTAATATACAGGTAGCATTCAGAAAATTTCTGCCTTTAACTTAATTCTAAAATGTCCAGCCAAAGCCACCTAAAATAATCTCTTTACATGATACCTACCGGGTACCGGTAGTGGTAATGTAGATGTGTACAGGCCAACAAGAACCAACATGTTAACATGTAAAGCACGCTCCTAATAATAAATTGGTGATTCATTGTAAAAACATACATGTACATGTAGGCCTACATGTACATTGTCTGCTTGCACACAGTTTAGGGGCATACCTAACATGGTTTTTTTTTTCATTTAAATTTGTCGATGGCCTTTTACAAAAATTACAAGTGTGTATACTGCACACGTGTGTACATGTACGTGGAAGCATAGCGGTACATGTACGTATCGTAGCTCATGGCCACTTTTTTGCTTCAAGATCCAAGAAGCGTTGCTCGCTGTCCTTTTTTGTTCAATACAGCAAGGGTACATTGTAAAGAAGACAGTAAATGAACATATGTAGCATGAGTCTCTCATCCTCTCAAAAAAAGAAAAAAGAAATTGGGAGCTGGGAAATTGGAAAAGGTCGAACCTTTGGATAAAAACTGGTCACCTTTCGACCTTAACACTAACCTTTGGTTTCCAACCAATTGTGACCCAGTGAAGGCTCGTGGCAAGCCTCAAGGATCTTAACTATAGTCTGCAGTTCACTGGTGACTTATTGGAGATAATAATGAGTCAAATAGGCTTTATACCATACCGGTAGCCACGCTTGCCCCGAGCCATTCAGATATGTCATGAACTCTTTTCTTTCATTAAATTCATGAGTCATGCTCCAAGGACTAATCTTGGACTTCTTGGGGGGGGGATTGTACATGTGTTCATGTATGTTTGGGGCCAGTTCTGGACAGCTTATTTCGTTTGCCTTTTTGTTTTAAAGGTGCAGCTATTTTGAATTGTTGAACACTGGCACATGAAGGATTGGAGGTCCACATTTTCCAAGGACTGAGTCTGTACTGGGAGAACAGTGGAGGTGGGGATGAAATCCCAATGTCTATCGTGGCTCCTGTGGCCTCTTCTTTCATAAGTTGCCTCTATTTTTATAAAAAAATCTCGGAATGTAATGGCCCATCCTTTATGTCAAGAGGCAGGGGTGAAATTCCTCTCACAGGCACAAAAGCCAGTGCGAGCATGCAGTGTGCCTCAAACACTGTGCCTTTTCAGCCTGGCCCATAGATTTTTTTTTTTTTCACACGGTTGAATCAAATTTCAACCACAGCGCTATCTCCTTTTCTCTTATGTGCCACAGAGCTTTCTCCATTTATCTTAAATAATATTCTCGTACTTCAGCCTGTCTGCTACTACAATTCATGTACATGTACCCGGTACCCTACTTGCATGGCAACTAAACTTTGTATTTGTACTAATATCTGAAGCATACTGTAGAGAAAAAAAAAGTGTGCCAGACTGGGTGATGATGCATTTTGAATCAAGCAGTTGACTGCTCTGGCTTGTTCAAATTAAGTGCATCCAGCGAGGAAGCAATCTTTTGAGCGTATCACCAACTGACAGAACGCATCCCCTCCACATAAACTGATGAGATTGTTAACGTACGCTGTCCGATACTGCGGAGACTGGCCGGCCTCAATCAAACCATTGCATTGTGAAATTCGCAGTCACTGCTGCTTATTCAAATTTGTCAAATGGATGGGTTTTTCGGGGTACAACCGTTTTGGGATCGATGGCTTTGTTTATAAATAATGATAAGCTTGGGGAGACAATCAATTAAGCTGCTTGAGAAGGCCTGAATTTACTCAATATGGCAGAGAAAGATGGTTCTGCCGTGGGCATGTTTATCAACTCCCTTCTGCTGCTTTATTTACGTGTACGTGTACAAAAAATGTTTACATGAACGTATGTGCTTGTAAAATGACGAATTTTTCTAGTGTGCCATTTTACTCGAAAGCTGTACATATGTATCAGTACACGTACCGTTCATAATGTACGGTAATTTTTACATGTCCACGTACATGAATTCAAACATGTGCATGTGTATATGTACATGGGTGGTCTAGCTCGTGTATGTTTTTGGCAAGGTCCATGTACATTTACATGTACATGTACATGTATATGTACATTGTAGATGTAATTGTGGGGACTGCACACATGTTGAAATAGACATGTAAATTTATGATATGGGGATGTCCCCACAGCTCGGTCCATTTGCTAACAAAGAAATCATCCCCTCAACAGGTGATGACCCAGGCACTACTTGCATGTGTATATGTACATGTATTCTTGTTTTGTTGTTGTGGGGACATACACTCAATATTTGGGTCATTCCAAAAGTTAGGGGTCCAAAAGTGTGGCATTTTTGTGTCCCTGTTACATTTGACCTTTGTTATTTGATATTTGTTTGGAAGGTACTTTGCTCGTGGAATTTAGAAAATGTGTTCTGAACTTACAAATCATATGTCAGATGTAACTGGGAGACGAAAAGATATGGGCCCCTAATTTCTGGAATTACTCATTTCACCTACATGTATATTGTGAGGACCCAAAACGTTATGGGGACACAGAATGTCCCAACAACTTAGACCAAATTTGCCTAACAAAAGAAATTGACCCCTAAAGTAACACAGTGAATGCCTACCCACCATGCCCACTATAAAGTGCAACTGACACAGGAGAGTTGACCACTTAGAAATAAACTGTGCAGCAGCATTCCGCAGCCATTTCACAAACCTGCATTGGTTTTTTTCTTTGGCTTCAGTTCTATCCTTATCTCTGGCACCAGAGACAGTTACATGTATATGTGCAGTAGCCCCCCCCCCTTGTTCAACTTACACAGATGGATATAGGCATTCACTTCATGGCCCGTTTTGATAAGATTTGATACCCCAGAGCAGGAAACGGAGCCCATATATTGAACCAGAGCTTCCAAGAATAGGCATCTGAAAATAGATTTTAACATTCCAAAGGGGGCACCCTTAAAATAAAAGTAATGTTTTGGGTTGTGGCTAGAAAAACCACCCGCACTTGTACATGCAGATCACTCTCATTTTGCCTACAAATTGTATGGGCAGCCAAAGTTTGCAGAAAAATCACCCCTAATTGGCTGGTTTTCAATTTTGCCTCCGTTTCGTTCAAAATGTTCATTTGTGCCATTTATTTTCTGGAGGGCGGTGGAATGTATTTCCATTTTGTAATTACTAATGTGTGACTTATGATCTGGTATTTTGATAGCTGCGTTTTGTCTTGAATTTTGTTCTCTTTACTTCAGTACTGGTGGCCAGTCATACGTGTACATGTAGATGTACTTTCTAGTAGCCACCTGTTGGAAAAAAAACTACTGTGACATAAAAAGAACAGACCCTGCAGAGTACCGAAGTGGTTCACGCATGTGTTCTCGTGCTAGTGTCTTTTATACACATACATGTAATTGCTTGCATGATTCACTGAAGTACTCTGTATGGAATCCCTTGCATAGTAGCTGCAGTCATTTCCTATACTCATACTTGTACATTGCAGCTGCTGAGCATGTGCGAAATACCGGTATGCATGGATGTGTTAC